ACAGACCTTGAAAATATAATTACCAGAACACGAAACGATGTCTGTGAGAGATAATTGCATCTGACACATATAATCGCGTTTCAACAGAGGACACAGCTCCACCAATATGAATAACAACATAAGACACACTTACACACACATGCACACATATAGGCAAACGCACAGGCACAGCTCAAGGCTTTTCTTTCTCTTCCGTGTTTGCATGCCTTTTGTACTGTTGAAACTAAATAGAAACAGATAAAAAAAAAATTTTAACAATTCTTTTTAAAGTTTATACCTTGTGAGGTCACACCATACACGGCATAGGCCGACAGAGGAGAGGGGCGTGGAACAAGAGGCAAACCAGGGACACGGGGAAAGATAACATCGTTGAAACTCTACAAAAGTACGATGTATATGTGGCTACAAGAGCAAGAAGTAGAACTTTATATTCTTCTCGACACTGAAGCGGTTTAAAAAAAAAAATATACATAAAGAAGAAGAAGCAGAGAAGAAGAAAGCGGAAAACGAAAGGGGAAAGGGGGGAGATGGAGGGTAAGGAGAAGAAGAAGCGAGGAAAAGAAGACGAAGAAAAAGAAGAAGTAAGAAGGAGGAGGAGAAGAAGAAGAAGAAAAAGAAGAAGAAGAAGAAGAAGAAGATGAAGAAGAAGAAGAAGAAGAAGAAGAAGAAGAAGAAGAAGAAGAAGAAGAAGAAGAAGAAGAAGAAGAAGAAGAAGAAGAAGAAGAAGAAGAAGAAGAAGAAGAAGAAGAAGAAGAAGAAGAAGAAAAAGAAAAAGAAGAAAAAGAAGAAAAAGAGAAAGAAGAAGCTAATGAAAACAAGAATATGTTAGGAATCCATATTTATGTTGTACGTTGTAACTAAACAACTAACGCACTCACATGTGACAAGTAACCGTCTAAAAAGTCGAGGCCGTCCATGGCCGTTCTGTATTTGTTATGTGGAGTGTAATACCTTTGGATATCATAGACCACGACATAGATGTGAAGGTAACAGTTCCCTTCCCTGTCGCTTTTCCTTCTCAGATAATGTTCAGACATTTGTTTGATAACCATTTATATGAGGCTACGTCGACCCCAGTATAGTAATGGGGTTTGAGGTTTTAAACAATGGATCAACATCATGGCATACGGGTAGTAACCCATAAGTGCTCCGTTTTTCTTCTAACTCGTCTGAGTCCCAAGACGCTCGGTACAGTGCACAAGCTCTGTAGCACCAGCGAGGATCCTGAAATACTATGGGTAGATTTTTAACTCTAAATTTTGCCCGGGCAACGCCGTTAGGCTACTCTTTTCGATTTCCAACTGCCAAGGGATTTTTTTACTTGCGCAACAATGCATACGAGCGTTCGATCTCACTACCCAAAGGTTAGTTGCGTATCCTTTACAGGACGTTGCAGAACCAACGTGTGGTTTTTCTAGGCAAATTTACGTCCAGTAGTTTGCCATTGCCCCTGGACGGTCGGCTTTCTTGATACCACTATCGAAACCAACGCAGCCCGCAGCTGGGATCCAACCCGGCATTACGAAGCGTTGGCATCGACTTAGCCACAGAGCCGACCACTACCCAGAGACCAGGGGCAATTCTAACAAAATCCCAGCCCCCACCGGGGATTGAACCCGAAACTCTAGCACTCGAGGCGGACACCATGCCTCGAGACCACGCAGTAATGGGGGAAAACAATCATCACGCCTGTGCTTCTTCTAGTTTAGTCCTGTTCTGCCTTTGAGCGTCAGGTGTTGAAGAGGAATCGGGTGCCATATAGACGCTGCTGTTGACGTTCTAGTATATATCATCTGTTCCTCGGGTGGTCGCCCTCTAGTCCTGTTGCTGTTGAGAGCAAGTGACAAGGCTGTCTGTAGTGCACTATCTGGTGGTAGTCTTGACTTGTCTCAACCATGTGATATGTTGCCTTTTGACCTGTGCTGGGAAAAAATGACTGACTGACTGACTTTCTACCCCACCAGGACATCACACAAGCAATAAACATCCGATGACACAATGTGCCATCATGTGGGTAAGGATAAACGTGGAGAGGTCCCAGAAACCGCGTTCAGCCATTAGGCCATTTTTATGGGTTGGCTATATTGCGGCCAGGGTGGGGCTTCAAATAACGAAAAATTTCATCCTAAAAAGGACGGCAGAAAATATCGATAATGTACTGGGAACAAATGGATCGTGGTGGGATTGAAACAGGATCAGTATCTAAGCTGGCTAGCACACGAGCCACTATGCCAACATGGCATACACAGTTTCTGCCAATGGGCGGGCGTTGTTTCAGACTGAAATATTCAACAGAAAAACAAGAGACCGACGGCCGCGTCAAAGTGTATCCTCTGTTGCATAAAGAGACACGAGTTCAGTTCAGATTATCTTCCCTGCATCCTGGGCACGTCGACTGGTATTCATATCTTCTTATCAATAAATAATTCAAAGAAATGCCCTCTGTTAGAAAGTAATAAAATGTCATGGTTTCTCTAAACCAAGGTATACAAATGTTCCGGTTTCTCTATTACAAAATAAACAAATGCGCTGTTTCTCTATTACAGAGAACAGACATGTCTCGATTTATCGGTTACAGAGTACAGAAATGTCCTGGTTTGGTTCGCTGTAGCAAACAGAGAAAAATGTCCCGGTTTCTCTGTTAGCAAGTAGAGAAATGTCCCGGTTTCTCCGTTAACAGACCCTTTCATTCGTAGATTTATGTTACCACTTGAAATGAATTTATCACCGCGGAGAATAGAAGATTTGGCAGCGATTCAAGAAAAGAGTCTCCGTGGACGCGATGGGAAATTTAATGGCAGAAAAAATCGTGAACACGTCCCCAAGGAGGTCAGTCCTGTAAATGAAGGTTAGCAAATTGTCTCGTCCGTAAGGAACTGGCTAAGTTCCGAGGTAGCGAACATTGAGATAAGCATATGTTGCTTTGTTCTTTCTGCCTTGTGTTTCAATGGCTGCTTTGAAAATAGTTTCTATTTTTTTAATTTCAGGACGAAAACGATGAGATGTATTTCCCATCCAAGAAAAAGCATACACAGGACTTTGCCTATCTGATCGTAGATCCGCTCAAGAGGACAGTTGTATGTTTCTACCACACATTTGGTGGCTGTTTCTAATGAGCAGGAGACACGGCACTCTCCACGCAGAACCTTTGGCAGTTTGTGTTGTGGCCGATAGTAGTTGCATGGATAGTTAAGGAAGTAGATAGATGGGTGGGTGGATAAGTAGATAGATGGTTTGGATGGATTTGTAAGTGCACATATTGTTGAATGGATACATAAGTAGATAGACTGGATGAAGGGTAAGTAAGTAAATCAATGAGTGAACAGATAAGTAAGTAGACATGGTTGGATAGATAAGTAAATAGATTGATGAGTTAATAGATTCATAGGTAGATAGATGGTTGGATGGATAAGTAAGCAGATAGCCTGGTAAGTGATTGAGTAGGTAAGCAGGTAGACTGAATGAGTTGATGGGTAGGTAAGCAGATAGATTGAATTAGTTGATGGAAAGGTAAGCAGATAGATTGAATGAGTTGATGGGTAGGTAAGCAGATAGATTGAATGAGCTGATCTACTGGTAGGTGGGCAAAAAGATAGAATGAATGAATGAATAGTAAGAGGGCAGACTGAAAGAATGTATGAACAGGTAGAGATGTAATTAGACTGGATAGATGGAATGAAAGCACAGGTAATTTAACAGACTGGAGACAGACAAAAGGATTTTATTTTCACTGACCAGACAGCTTAAACGGATAGAATGATAGATTCGGTGAATGGATGGACTGGTAGGTAGGTAACAGATACACTTATGGATGGACTGGTAGGTAGGTCAACAGATACACTTATGGATGGACTGGTAGGTAGGTCAACAGATACACTTATGGATGGACTGGTAGGTAGGTCAAAATATACACTAATGGATGGACTGGTAGGTAGGTCAAAATATACACTAATGGATGGACTGGTAGGTAGGTCAAAATATACACTAATGGATGGACTGGTAGGTAGGTCAAAATATACACTAATGGATGGACTGGTAGGTAGGTAACAGAAATACTTATGGATGGACTGGTAGGTAGGTCAACAGGTACACTTATGGGTGGACTGGTAGGTAAGTCAACAGATACACTACTTGATGGACTGGCAGGTAGGTCAACAGATACATTAATGGATGAAATAATATATTGAGTGGACAATTCGATAAAAATATAAGTCAGTAACTAGACAAACTGGACACATGAATGCATATATTTCTGGAGAATGAGAGAAGACCACCTGTATTGTTGTCATTAGATATTGCATGAGAGACTGAATTCTTGACTGCAGATGCTATTCATGTAGATTCAGCTGTAATGACTTTGTCAGTTGATACTGCATTCTAGGTATCATCTTTGTCAGTGGAAATGTCTTGACAGGTATAATCTTTCAGTAACTGTATGAGTAGCTGAGCTCTTCCTCTGCTAAATTATCTTTGCTCACTCCAGCTGACGTAACCACATGTACTTCAGGCGTCTGTAAAAACAGTTTTCCTTCACCATCTCCCTTGTTTTATTGTCTCCCCTGCTTCAAGACCTCCCATTTTTTTTTTTTTTTTTTGACTGCCTCCCAGAGGTTGTCATTTGTAGATGGGAGACATAAATACCACAGGTTCAGTTGTGTACAGTTGAGACATAAATACCAGTGGTTCAGTCCTGTGTTAATGAGACATAAATACCAGTGGTTCAGTCCCATGTTAATGAGACATAAATACCAGTGGTTCAGTCCCGTGTTAATAAGATACAACTGGTTCAGTTGCAAGAATTTAACATTACTGGTGACAGAAGTTTCACAACTGTAATATTTATTGCTGACTAAACTTGAATTTTCTTGGGTTAAATTTCTTTTATTAACAATGAACATGCATTACAAAATACATTTAGTTATATACAATATACATCAGTCATGTTGAGTGCATGAAGGAATGATGTGGCTAACAGTTGCTAAAACATGCTAGACAAGCTGCTAGAACTTGTGTGACTTGGTAGAAACTAAGATTCTCACTGGCTTGACCAACTCAACCATCTCCTGTTTCTTAACAAGTCTGGCCTGGCCACGTGGTTCCATCACTAGAGAGATCTCCACACTGCATGACTCTGGAAACATCAAACCACAGAATAAGAACAGTGACATTTTCAACATGTGGGACATCAAGTTAGTTATGTATCCTTTAGAAAACACTGCCCACCAAGCCATCATTTGCCAGCCATTTCTGGTTCTACCATCATCATGTAGCAGGTCCTTTGCAGAACGTAGCTCTCATCACAGTCTGCCTGAAAGAAACTCGTTCTCTCGCCTCATGTACTCTCATACTCAAGGAGTCACTTATATCCTGTGCCCATCTTCGTGTTGAGCGGCGTCCGTGGCTAAGGCGTTGCGAGTCCGACTCGTAAGCCAGCATACCGCGATCGAAACCCACTGCAGGCTGCGTGGATTTTTGTCGTGGTATGGGACGTCGCAGGTCGACCCAGCCTAAAATGGGTACCAGGATGGGCTGTCCTGGGAAAGTAAAGACAGCCGGCGTAATGCTGACCACATTACCCACAGAGTGCTGATGGTCTGTAAAAATATGGGACGCTCTGCCCATATGCCCGATGCGCCGAAAGACGTGAAAAGGGAACTTTACTTTTTTTTTTTTATCTTCGTGTTGGTCGGCCCCTGCCCCTCCTTCCTGGTACCATGCCTTCTGCTATAATTTTTCCAATCCGTCGCGCTTGATATGACCAAAATATTTCAGCTTTCGAGAAAGGATGCTGTTCATTAGCCAATCTTCCTTGATGTTCAGATCTTTTAAGATGTCAATATTTCTCCTCTTCTTTGTCCAAGATATTCTGAGAATCTTTCTATAGCATTTCAGCTCAAAAGCCCCTATTCTCTTTCTTAAGGACTGAGATAGTCCACAACTCACATCCGTATGTAGCCACAGGGAAGATGCATGCTCTCAAAATTCTACCAGGCAGTTTTAATTATGGTTAACAGTCCATACTATCATGTGAGGGGGCTGAGTAGTCTTGTGGCATGGCATGGCCTTGAAAGTATTTCAGGACCCTCACTGGTGATATGGAGTTTATGCACTGCACTGAGATTCTTCGCACTGGGGCTTGAGTCATAAGTAGAGTGGAGCACTTTTGGGTTACTACCCTTGTGCCATGATGTTGATCCATTATCTAAACCTAGTCCATACTGACCAAGACATCCAATCAATTTTCATAACCTAGCCTAAATACGCATCAGGATATGGGAAGTACAGGCAGCTGATGTGAATGTCGATTAAATCATTCACTTTGTGCTGATTTTTCTATAGAAATATAGGTCTAACACTAGTTCGATCTAATAATGGAATAATGTAACAATAACTTAAGTATCCAGCATACCGCGATCGAAACCCACTGCAGGCTGCGTGGATTTTTGTCGTGGTATGGGACGTCGCAGGTCGACCCAACCTAAAATTGGTACCAGGATGGGCTGTCCTGGGAAAGTAAAGACAGCCGGCGTAATGCTGACCACATTACCCACAGAGTGCTGATAGTCTGTAAAAATATGGGACGCTCTGCCCATATGCCCGATGCGCCGAAAGGCGTGAAAAGGGATCTTTACTTTTTTTTTTTTTTTTTTTTTTACTAACTGAAGTATGCCAAAGTATCTCAGTTTTCAAGACATGATGCTCTTTACCCAGTTTTCTTCAGTGTTGACATATTGCAAAATGTTAATGGTTTTCTTCTTACCCAACAGTTTGTCATAATTGTTTCTGACAGATTTAAGTTTATAAACATTACCTTTCGAAAAATATCAGGTAAAAGTAAATGGAAATATGAAATAACAATGATGGCAACATCTAGCTACAGACGTTATAATATGTGAACAATGACTGACCTGACCACAGAGCATGAGACATGACAGCTTCTGTCTCCAGCCGATGTTTGAGGCTGGTGATTCTTGTCCAGGCTGATGATGGTGGGGTCACAAGCTGGCTCTGCTGGTCTGGGTACTTCACCTGTGACAGGACACAGCAAATATCACTGATGACAAGGCTGGCAGTGTCAGCTCATACATTGAACATGGAAGTGAGAGAGAGCAGACATCACTGATGACAACACCAGCGGTGTCAGTCAATGTTAGCACACACTCTAAACATAGCAGTGAGAGAGAGCAGACATCACTGATGACAAGGCTGGCAGTGTCAGCTCACATACCAATCAGTGCAGTGAGAGAGAGCAAACATCACTGATGACAAGGCTGCCGGTGTCAGCTCACTCAATGAACATGGCAGTGAGAGAGAGCAGACATCACTGATGACAAGGCTGGCAGTGTCAGCTCACATACTGAACATGGCAGTGAGAGAGAGCAGACATCACTTACGACAAGGCTGGCAGTGTCCGCTCACATACCGATCACGGCAGTGAGAGAGAGCAAACATCACTAATGACAAGGCTGGCAGTGTCAGCTCACACAATGAACATGGCAGTGAGAGAGAGCAAACATCACTGATGACAAGGCTGGCAGTGACAGCACACACAATGAACATGGCAGTGAGAGAGAGCAGACATCACTGATGACAAAGCTGGCAGTGTCAGCTCACACAATGAACATGGCAGTGAGAGAGAGCAGACATCACTGATGACAAGGCTGCCGGTGTCAGCTCACTCAATGAACATGGCAGTGAGAGAGAGCAAACATCACTGATGACAAGGCTGGCAGTGTCAGCTCACACAATGAACATGGCAGTGAGAGAGAGCAAACATCACTGATGACAAGGCTGGCAGTGTCAGCTCACTCAATGAACATGGCAGTGAGAGAGAGCAGACATCACTGATGACAAGGCTGGCAGTGTCAGCTCACACACTTAACATGGCAGTGAGAGAGAGCAGACATCACTGATGACAAAGCTGCCGGTGTCAGCTCACTCAATGAACATGGCAGTGAGAGAGAGCAAACATCACTGATGACAAGGCTGGCAGTGTCAGCTCACATACCAATCAGTGCAGTGAGAGAGAGCAAACATCACTGATGACAAGGCTGCTGGTGTCAGCTCACTCAATGAACATGGCAGTGAGAGAGAGCAAACATCACTGATGACAAGGCTGGCAATGTCAGCTCACTCAATGAACATGGCAGTGAGAGAGAGCAAACATCACTGATCACAAGGCTGGCAGTGTCAGCTCACTCAATGAACATGGCAGTGAGAGAGAGCAGACATCACTTATGACAAGGCTGGCAGTGTCAGCTCACACACTAAACATGGCAGTGAGAGAGAGCAGACATCACTTGTGACAAGGCTGGCAGTGTCGGCTCACACACTAAACATGGCAGTGAGAGAGAGCAGACATCACTTATGACAAGGCTGGCAGTGTCAGCTCACACACTAAACATGGCAGTGAGAGAGAGCAGACATCACTTATGACAAGGCTGGCAGTGTCAGCTCACACACTAAACATGGCAGTGAGAGAGAGCAGACATCACTGATGACAAGGCTGGCAGTGTCAGCTTACATATCGATCATGGCAGTCAGCAACAGTCCCATTTTCAGTAGTCAAACACATTAAACTAAACATGTTACTTCAAGTGCTTAAAGACACTGGTTTGTCATTAAACTAAACATGTTACTTCAAGTGCTTAAAGACACTGGTTTGTCATTAAACTAAACATGTTACTTCAAGTGCTTAAAGACACTGGTTTGTCATTAAACTAAACATGTTACTTCAAGTGCTTAAAGACACTGGTTTGTCATTAAACTAAACATGTTACTTCAAGTGCTTAAAGACACTGGTTTGTCATTAAACTAAACATGTTACTTCAAGTGCTTAAAGACACTGGTTTGTCATTAAACTAAACATGTTACTTCAAGTGCTTAAAGACACTGGTTTGTCATTAAACTAAACATGTTACTTCAAGTGCTTAAAGACACTGGTTTGTCATTAAACTAAACATGTTACTTCAAGTGCTTAAAGACACTGGTTTGTCATTAAACTAAACATGTTACTTCAAGTGCTTAAAGACACTGGTTTGTCATTAAACTAAACATGTTACTTCAACTGCTTAAAGACACTGGTTTGTCATTAAACTAAACATGTTACTTCAAGTGCTTAAAGACACTGGTTTGTCATTAAACTACACATGTTACTTCAACTGCTTAAAGACACTGGTTTGTCATTAAACTAAACATGTTACTTCAAGTGCTTAAAGACACTGGTTAGTCATTAAACTAAACATGTTACTTCAAGTGCTTAAAGACACTTGTTAGTCATTAAACTAAACATGTTACTTCAAGTGCTTAAAGACACTGGTTTGTCATTAAACTACACATGTTACTTCAACTGCTTAAAGACACTGGTTTGTCATTAAACTAAACATGTTACTTCAACTGCTTAAAGACACTGGTTTGTCATTAAACTAAACATGTTACTTCAACTGCTTAAAGACACTGGTTTGTCATTAAACTAAACATGTTACTTCAAGTGCTTAAAGACACTGGTTTGTCATTAAACTAAACATGTTACTTCAACTGCTTAAAGACACTGGTTTGTGAGCCTGAAGGTTTTTTTGTTCAAATCCTAACTGGGACAGTTTAAAAATAAAAAATATGATGATCCAGCTTAAACTGGTTACCAGGAAACGTTCTGGGAAGTAAAGCTGGCCAGCACACTGCTGACCATACCACCCATCAAGTGGTGTTGATATATATATAAATATATGGAAAATATCATATGCCAGATGCCTCTCTAGTGTGAAGAGAGTCCTTTGATTTTTTTTGTTTGTTTTTGAAATATAAAAAAAAAAACTTACACAATTTAGTTCACTTTGTATAACAATACACACTGCAAATTATAAAGAGTTCATTGCTATACTTCTATGGGTAGTTCTCTGGCTTTGACACTGCAAACTAAATTCACAAGATACAGTGATAAAAGGAATGGCACTACAAACAAGTCAGAGTCTCTATAAACAGACTTTTCAGATACACGAACAGCTGTAACAAAACATAAAATGCCAAATCAGGAAACGAGAATGGTAAAAACAAAGTGAACCACTCAAGATCCCGAGAGAAAATGAAAAAGATAAGAGCAGACAGGAGAAACTAAACCGACAATAAACAGACACACCCATGGGGAGTCTGTGCCCCAATAAAGCCATCAATGAGGAGATCTCGCTTCACAGACAAATGGACACAGTGCCACATGGGATTTGCTTGAGACACTGCACAGACAACAAAAACGGATGATTACATTATGAAATACAAATTGATGACTTCACAATACGAATACTTTAACCCTCTCCACCCTGACAGTAGTCACTCTGAAGCTTTCCGTTGCAATCAGCAGTTACTGAACTCATCAATTTCCACATTAAATAATACAATATGATAACAAACATGTAACAATTGTTGTCAAACAGAGGTATGTTAACACTTGCACCTGTAGCTGTGATACTTGTGAAATGTGCATGTAGACTATAAACTTCAAAGACCATTTTTATTCTAAGGTTAAGATAATCATAGTTCCAACATCATATCAAACAAGACATCCCATAGTTGCACTGTTCCTGTGCCAACATCATATCAAACAAGACATCCCATAGTTGCACTGTTCCTGTGCCAACATTATTTCAAAAGTCATCTCATAGTTGCATGCTTTCCTGTGCCAACATCATTTCAAAAGTCATCTATCTCATAGATGCATGCTTTCCTGTGCCAACATCATTTCAAAAGTCATCTCATAGTTGCATGCTTTCCTGTGCCAACATCATATCAAACAAGCCATCCCATAGTTGCATGCTTTCCTGTGCCAACATCATTTCAAAAGTCATCTCATAGTTGCATGCTTTCCTGTGCCAACATCATTTCAAAAGTCATCCCATAGTTGCATGCTTTCCTGTGCCAACATCATATCAAACAAGCCATCCCATAGTTGCACCGTTTCTGTGCCAACAAAAAACATACAAAATGTCTACCACCATAGCTTGTGACAAAAAAACTGACACCGACTGTAGTCTAAAAAAAAAATCCAATTGCAAACTCATGCATTAAATGTACAAGGCAACTGTCAGAATTCCCAACACAAACTGTCCAACACTAGACATACAGTTCCTTGTCAATGGAAGTAGCAGTGACAACAGATCAGTAGTTGCATACACAATTAACCGCATAAGGCACCACCATTTCTCTGGCAACAGGCCACTCACCATTTTCTAAATTTGCAGTCCACAACACAAACTACATTGGGCACAGTGGAAAAGCATTCTAAAATAAAGCTGCAGCTCACAGTGTCATGCTATGCACTCACCTTAGTGAAAGAACTATATCCTTTTAGTCTAAAAGTAAAAAGTAAATGACCCTTTTCCCACGCCTTTAGGCGTATAGGCCATACAGGGCTAGACCTATATTTTTATAGACCAATCGGAACAAGGTGGGTGATGTGGCCAGCATCACACCGACTGCCTCTACTTCCCAGGACTGCACCCGATACCCACTCAAGGCTGGGCTGACTGAGAGTCAAGGTCATTTTTGAAAAAAGTTCAGCTCCACCAGGGAGCGAACCCACAACCTTCCGATCTGTGGCGAGCATCTAGCCGCACCGCCATGGCGACTCCCCCTTTTAGTCTAAATTTGGAGAAAAATGCAACAACTAACTATTGCCAAAAGCAAACACTTGCCATGACTAAAAACAGTAAACCTGTCTATCCACCATACTGACTGGTATACAGACCAGTCCAGATTTGCTGGACATGTGAGAGGAAACAGACCTGAAAACTTAGTGACAACTTAGAGAAAAAGAACAGGGGGAGGGTAAAGAGATAAATACCTAGATACCTTAACCATAAGGCAAGCGTAAGACAAAAGCAAAGACCTGATCATTGATTCCGGTGATCATCTATGGCACATGATATGTATGCGTATATATTTTTGATCAGAGTTGGTCGCAGATCCTCATAAGGGTGCCACAAGCTAACCTGGGCATTTACTAGCTGTTGCTTGTATTTCACTGGTCAATTTTACAT